TGTGAGATTATAAATCACACTGATCTTTTGTGAGGAGGGGAAGGTGTGAAATAAATCAACATACAAACAAGTTGAAACCAAGATTAGGAAGGAATCTAAATATTAACACACATTAGCATGGAATGGGAGCAAGAATTCACCAGTAGAGGCAAAGAAGGAGTACACGTTGAAATCTGTACTAAGCCTTGGTAGTGCAAGAATAAATGAGTCAGGAAGTCACCGCAGGCTACAGAATGCTTTTCAAGTCCTGTAGTAAGTTTTAAAACTTAATATATTATATACATATAATATTGATAATATTATATTATAATGTAATACAATATAATACTACTACTAATAATAATACGATATTATAATTATATATTTTATATTACATGTTATATTACAAATAATATTACAGTATAATTGTATAGTACAATGTAGTAATATATAATACTAATATTGTGCTATGGTAATAATATAATATATTGTATTTACATATTACTTGTAAGCTGCTCTGAGTACCTTTCAGGGTGAGAAGGGCAGCATATAAATGTCTTAAATAAATAAATATATTTCGATGCTTGTGAGCTGACTTTGGCCACCAAGATATGTTTGGTCATACTGGGTTAGCATGTTTCAGTGAATTCATCTGTGCCACTATTTAGGAAATAAGTGAATTATTGTTAGAGGCAAGCATGATTTAAATTTATGCTTTATTTTAACCAGTGATTGAGACTGCTTTACTTTCAAGTGCTCTGCCTTACAATAATAGCACATTTGAGAAACCATCCTGCATTGCCTACAGCAAACTTGACCAAAGCAAATTTGGGATATATCAGACTATATTGCTCATACAACAACATATGGTGGATTTGGTCCATGCAACAAGAGAATGGTGATGACACTGCTGTTTGATCAGTAAACATCACAAAAGGGATCTATTTCAGCATCAAGGGGTGCATTATAGTGGAAGAGCTGACTTAAATTATCAATCCATGCAAATATGTATCCTTCAGAGGGTCACAAAGGTTGTTTGACATCAGGTAACTATTCAAACTGCAGGTGCTTCAGTTTCACCAAACAACTGCTGCACTTCCACCTGTGACAGCTGGCAATGCAGGCAACAGCTGGAGAGGCACAAAGTTGCTGTTTAACAGGGCTGTAATTAAAAGCACTGACTTCCAAGGGAAAAATGCTTCCAGAAGCAAAGATGCCCATGCGCCCCCCTCATTCCTGGAGAGTACTGCTGTATTTCCAAATCAAAATAAAAACCTGTATTATCAATGGTGCCGTGCTAAGTGAAGCACAGCAACTTGTTACACCAGCCACCATAGCCATACCTACAAAGAGAGTCCAAGAATTCAGGATGCACATTTTGACCAAGCATAAATTCAGGATGCACATTTTGGAAGAAAGAAATGAAAGGGAGGGAGGACGAGAGTGAGAAATAGAGTGAAAGAACATGTACACTCTCATGTGTGCACATATACCTAACGTGACAGCATCTGTGTTTGAGAGACTGCACATGGCCATGTGTCAGAGTTAACTTCTCTCCCTCCAATCCCCTGCCTGCTTTCAAGTTACCTGTTGACTTATGGTGACCCCAATAATTTTTTACAACATTCTTAAGCAAGGAGCAATCAGGGCTGTTTTGCCATTTCTCTGAAATGCAACTTCTGGCACTTGGTATGCCTTGGCTATCCCTTCTTCAAGTGCCTGATTCTGCTTAGTTTCCAAGAGACAAAGGGATCTGGTGCTTTAAGGTTTTTAAAGCCTCCTGTGTTTTCTCCACCCATTAAACTTAATGTATGGCTTTGGAACTGTCACTTTCTCACCCTAGCCTTATTAGTTCCTTAACCAATCCTGTCTGTGAATCCCATTCCCCTCAATTAAAAAACTGGAGAATATTGCTTTAGCATTGCTCCTACCGTGAAACACAAAGTACAGGAGCTGTGCTCCCCTCACGCTCATGTTTCACTATGTCACTGTTTAATAACTCTCATTCTGTGGATTTTTGGTTACTTTCCAAACAGAACTCTGAAGCTGTGAAGCCTCTACCAGGGCACAGTTTGTAATGTTTTACGAGGGACACTGACACATAGCAAAATGCTCTCTCAAATACAGATACTCTTCTCTGTCTTATTGTATACGTGTCCTCCGCTGATTCTCTTTTTTCTCCCTTCTTTTGCATAATAAACTCTGTTAGCACACTTGCTAACAGAGTTTATTGATTAAAACTGATATCCTTCCCTTCTGCCACCCAAGGTCTTACAACAGTCAAATAAAAATCAAAGAAAGACAAACAATTTAAACTTACAAAAATATTTAAAAGAACAATAGGAAGAAATAACCGCATCCAAACATTTCAAGCTTCTTTCAACAACGACCCAGGTGAAGTGCAAAGCCTACCTGAATAAAACAATTTCTGATTGTTGGCAGAAGGACAAGAGAAAGGAGGCTACCCTAGTCTTCATTGGCAGGGAGTTATACACTCAAATTAAAAAAAAATTCTATTGCCAGAATTTCCAAACATGCAGAAAAAAGTATAATCTTTGATTCCTCCAGGTTTAGAGGCATCAGAACAGATTCTTGGTGATCTTGAAGAATAATAGATTGTGTTCACTGAAGCTCATGCAATTTTTGTTCAAAGCTTCATTTCATCTTACTTAGAATGTGCTTTCCTAGAATCCCAGCTGCTGAAATAGTTTGCTTCATAATTTTTACTTCATGACTGCTCATAATCTTGTAGAATGAAAAGGTAAAATAAGGAATTTAACTTACACTTATTCTCTTTTTAAAGCTCACTTGCAATCTAGCTGAGTCACCTCATTTTTTGGTTATTGGCTTTCTCCTATTCTACAGCATTTACTCATCAGAACTGGCAAACAAAGGATTCATTGACACTGTAATTTGGCGAGGCATTATTTGGTAGTAAAGACCTTATAAAATGAAAACTCCCACAATTCCATGATATTGAGTCATGGCATTTAAAGTTGTGTCAAATTGCAATAATTCTGCAGTGTCAATGAATCTAGACCATAGTTGCAACTTTATATCTACCATATTACTATGTCACATCAATGATGACGTGGAAGGAAGGGGTTTTTTAATAATATGCTTTTATTGCATTTCTATTCATTTCATTACAAAAAACAATCTCTACAATTCATATAAATACTTCTTCTCCTTTCCCCCGTTGTGCTACCCATTGTGCTTCCCATCTCCAGGGTTCTTCTTTTCTTTAGGCTCGCACCAGAACTTCATTTCTTCTGGTAGTGGTTGGTTCCCATCTTCTTTCTTTAATGTTTCTTCAATAAATATTTTCCATATACTTTCAAAATCATTATCCTTCCTTAGGCCTTTTTTAACCTTTAGATTGCATGTTAGTTTATTAACTTATTACTAATTTCCAAATTTCCTTGTACCATTCTTCTATCTTAATTTCCACCTCTCCTTTCCAATGTTTTGCTATTAGTAGCCTTGCAGCCATTAACAACATCATTATCAAATTATTTTCATTTTCCTTTCATTCATCTGTATTATAAATAGATAACAGTATAGTCGCTGGATTTATATTAATTTTTTCCCGATTATACTTTCTATTTCTACTATAACTTTTCCCCAGAACCTATGTACATATTTGCTTTGCCACCACATATGAATCTACGTTCCTCTTTCTTGGCAATCCCTCCAACATTTTTTTCTGAATGACAGCAAGTGTTTTAATTTGAACCTTAGACTGAAAATAATATTGAAATCATAAAACCAATTTTTTAAAGCCCACTGTTTTTTCTAAAATAAAAAAAGGGAAGGATGGGAAACAAGGAATTAAGGCAGAATGTTGTTGTTCATTCGTTCAGTCGTCTCCGACTCTTCGTGACCTCATGGACCAGCCCACGCCAGAGCTCCCTGTCGGCCGTTACCACCCCCAGCTCCCTCAAGGTCAGTCCAGTCACTTCAAGGATGCCATCCATCCATTGCCCTTGGTCGGCCCCTCTTCCTTTTGCCTTCCACTTTCCCCAGCATAATTGTCTTCTCTAGGCTTTCCTGTCTCCTCATGATGTGGCCAAAGTACTTCAACTTTGTCTCTAGTATCTTTCCCTCCAGTGAGCAGTCGGGCTTTATTTCCTGGAGGATGGACTGGTTGTATCTTCTCGCAGTCCAAGGCACTCTCAGAACTTTCCTCCAACACCACAGCTCAAAAGCATCGATCTTCCTTCGCTCAGCCTTCCCTAAGGTCCAGCTCTCACATCCGTAGGTTACTACAGGGAATACCATGGCTTTGACTAGGCGGATCTTTGTTGTCAGTCTGATGTCTCTACTCTTCACTATTTTATCGAGACTGGACATTGCTCTCCTCCCAAGAAGTAAGCATCTTCTGATTTCCTGGCTACAGTCTGCATCTGCAGTAATCTTTGCACCTAGAAATACAAAGTCTGTCACGGCCTCCACGGTTTCTCCCTCTATTTTCCAGTTGTCAATCATTCTTGTTGCCATAATCTTGGTTTTTTTGACGTTTAGCTGCAACCCGGCTTTTGCGCTTTCTTCTTTCACCTTGATTAGAGGGCTCCTCAGCTCCTCCTCGCTTTCGGCCATCAGGTGGTGTCATCTGCATATCTGAGGTTGTTAATGTTTCTTCCAGCAATTTTCACCCCAGCCTTGCATTCATCAAGCCCCGCACATCGCATGATGTGTTCTGCATACAAGTCAAAAAGGTTGGGTGAGAGGATGCAGCCTTGCCGTACGCCTTTCCCAATCTTGAACCAGTCAGAATGTATAGCAATGCAAAAAGGACTTGTTTTGATCCTTAGATTGGTTTCCAATTGCAACCATGCATTGCAGTAACCCTATGTCATGTCTATTGACATCCTCTGGAGAGGCCATATGTGATCTAGAGGAGGTCCAAAACAAGACGTTATTTCAGACCACAGGTCCCCCCCCCCCACACACACACATACTTTTTAACAGCTAGACGATTTTAACTAGACAAAGTGTGAGGAAATAAGAATTCTGTGTACCTTGTGACTTCTTGCTGCAGACGAGTAACACTTGGCACATAGAACATGACCCCAAAGAAAAGTAGAGGCTCACTGGCAAACTTGTCCAGTTGCTTTTTGAGTGGTTTCTCCAGTTCCACCCATCGCACTTGCTGGCTCTTGCTGTGAAACCAAAGGCCAAAATAGTGTGTCTAGAAAGAGGGAGTAAAGAGTTCAAAGAGAAACATTTATTCTCAGGGCAAGTTTACAAAAAGAAAAAACCCCAAAAACACACATACTCTTTCACTTACTGCTACTACCATTTAATTAATCATAAAAAATAGCTTATATCATGTTAGTTTTTGACTCCTCCAGAAGAGGTATCAAAGGTAACAGAGGAGTTGCATGGAGAATGACCAATAATGCACCTCAAGATTCTCTGGACAATCATCACTGCAGTGGAAGCAAAATACCCTATTGAATCTAGGCCGGTATATTCCATTTCCCCACCTTATGTTAAAGAGAGAGACAGTTTGCTTCCAACTGTTCCTCTGCAAGTTCTACAATAATTAACATGACAATAATCCTACAAAAATTTAGGAGAGGTCTTATATAAGCCAGGGGAATGTGAAGCTCAGAACTAATGATGAAAAAGGCCCCTTTTCTAGTGGCCACCAATCTAGCTGATTCAGATAATAGACCTACAAATTTACTTCTAAAACAGAGATGCAGAAAACAATATGTGTATGAAGGAGACCTGTAGAGCAAAGTTGCTAAATGTTACCATCTTTCATAATTTACTATTCCTAATCAAAAGTGGGATGCTTTTAACAATTACCGTATATTCCGGCATATAAGACAACTGGGCGTATAAGACGACCCCCAACTTTTCCAGTTAAAATATAGAGTTAAGACGACTCCCATGCATAAGACTACACCCACGTATAAGACGACCCCTGACTTTTGAGAAGATTTTCTTGGGTTAAAAAGTAGTCTTATACACCAGAATATACTGTATGTTAATTTTTGAATTGATATTTATATTTCCATCACAGTGCTACACAAGAAGGCCTGATCAGAAAAAAAAGATTTTAAAAGTCGATCCAAAACTTTACTCCTCCTCTCTCTCAATTTTTCAGAAAAGGAAATATTTGGATGAACTTTTGAAAACCCCATTTCTCATGCACATAAAGAAGTGTCTTTATTCTTCCTTCCTTTCGTATATTCTCATCTACTTACTCTTCTGCTTTCTTTATCTTACTTTTTTCTTGTTGATCCTAGTTAAAAGACAGAGGCTTAAAAGCTTCGATAACCATTTTCTTGGGACAAATAAAGAGCTTATGTGCAGTACAGTAGGCCATTTCAATGCAAAGACCAACTCTCCTTCTCAAGGTCCCATATTACTTGGGACATAATGGGGAAAGTAGTAGGCTTGTGCATTTTGGCTGAGGCGGGGACAGTTCCATTTTCACGTGCCTCCTGAAAATGGGCTGCCAGCTGAATGGATCTCACCTACTGGCAGCAATGGCAGCAATGGGAGGGCTTCACGTCATTTTCATGGCAATCAGGATGAAAATGGGCACACTTGGGGGACACATCTACCACTGCTGACCCATCAAGTTTCAGAATGTTTGTGTTATCCCATGATTTTTAGGAATTTCTTTTCTTTCTAGAAATAAAATCTCATTTGTTGTATCCCCCACTGGCCCTTGCTGTTACGGCCAGCCGTAGAAGCCAGAGAAGCTGAAGAAAAATGGCTAAAAAGGATCCATGCACAAGCCTACTAATACAAATCCTACAATAAAGGCAGGAAACATCTACACTGACCATGTAATTCATCTTCAAACTGCCATTGAAGAAGGTGGTTTTGTTGTGCAGGTGATTACTTAGGAAATCCTGGAACCAGTTTGAGTCAAACTACATTTAGGGCTTACTTTTATATATGCTTGTTATCTGGCTTTGAATTGCATTAAATATTCAGTGTAGATGAATTTGTTATCCTTCTGTCTGTCCCAAAGGGACACACTCCACTATAGATAATCAGTGACATGCTATCCTCCAGACCAAAATATTTAGGCTGAATGGAAAATTAAATTAGGGAAGCATTTAATTATGACAGTTAACATAGTAACAGGTGATGTTAATTATCCTACCAAGATTGGGCAAATGTATGTTTCAGTCATAAGGGTGAGTCACATAGAGATTATAAAGTGAAACTAAGCAAGATGACAAAATGGAGGCACTGTGGCTATTTCATTTCTTCATCTGGGGGATCATCAAGGGAACTGTTAGGTTCTGTTACTAGCTACTCAGATGGCATTGGTTTCTTGCACTGGTTTTAGTTGTTTCACCACGTGTGACCCCTCTTGTGTTGGGACAGTTTTGGCATGTGATCCAATTTCTGGTAACTGCCCAACTAGATCACAGTAGTAATACATGACATGAGGGTCTACCCTTGAGGGTCTTAGAATCTTCAACTATGCTTGCTAGAACTTCAACATGTACAGCCACATTTATTTAAATCAAGCCAGATTTAGAAATGCTGCACGGGCTGCCAACTGACATCAGCATCCAAGTTAAGATGTTGTTACAAGCCATAATTCACTTGACGTCAAATGCATAGAAGTGTGCATCTCCCTGTACTAGTCTCCTCTGTTTTGAGACATTCCACTAGAGTGATATACTCAATTACATTTTAAAAATCAGATATGGGTGATATTAAAGAAATGGAAGTGGGTCCCAGGTATCTGAATGAATTAGTTTGACCATTTCAGCTGCATCAGGTTCAGACATGTTCATTTTCAAAGACTTTTTGACTGAGAAAATTGTGTTTTGGTTATTTTTTTACTGTTAGCATAATGTTTTCCAGTATTTTACCAAATAAATACATTATTTTGCATATTTCCAATTTGCCATCTGGGAATCTATTGAAACAAGGCAGTATACAAATGTCAGAAGTTCAAGAAACAAAATAAAAGCAAAAACATAATAGAACTAGGTTCTTGTGGGTTTTTTCCGGGCTATATGGCCATGTTCTAGAGGCATTTCTCCTGACGTTTCGCCTGCATCTATGGCAAGCATCCTCAGAGGTGGCTATAGAACTACTCTCTGCAGTGGGAACATCCTCCCGTCAGAATCCTAACTGGAGTAATTGTTGGTGTAATTCTGGCACTAAGTCATAAAAGCCCTTGGGCCTTATGATTTTATCCTCATGCAGTAATATTATAAATTGTTATAACCAGGTTTACATTGTTTTATAAGGTGGAAATGATTTAAAATTATTTTTTTTAATACTGTAATAGTTTTGAAGTGTTCTAAATCAATTTCTAGACGTCGCCCTAAAATCCTTGGATAAAGAATGGAATATAAAGGTTTTAATAAACAAATAAATAAATAATAAAGTGAAAAGAAAAAGCAGAGCCAACCCATATGGAAAAACTAGCATTATCTGATCCTTGTTGTGCATTTTTTCTGCTGAAACAAGCAGTTGGTATCTAACCAAATTCCAAAGAACACCCACCTGTTCTACAAACAAAATGTTAAAAATGAAGTCTCCTGGCAGTAATCCCAATGCTGAGAATGGTGTGTGGCAAACAGGCAAATATACAGAGACTAGAAGGGGGTGGAACAGCCAACTTGAGCTTTTTAATAGATGTTAATGACTAAATTGCCTCTGTGACTCACAAGAGAAAGAGGACACTAAGCGTGGCTGAATGCTGGAAAACCTCTAACCCTCTAGGGCTTCAGTTTCCAGATGTTTCATATATGATGGCCAATTATGGAATCTTTAAAAACCTAGAAGGCCAAAGGTTCCCAGCTTCTGAAGTAGGTCACTCAGGGAGGACTAGATTCACTTAATTTTATTAGGACAAATTAATCTACAGATTACAAGCTATTTGGCAAATTCATTCAGACCAACAATTCACTTGCTTTTGAATCTCAAAACTAAAGTTTAGGAAGCATGAGCCGAGAAGTGGAGAGTGCAGATGCGCTCCCTCTGTCAGCTCCAGCTCCTCATGTGGGGACATGAGAGAAGCCTCCCATAAGGATGGTAAAACATCAAAACATCTGGGCATCCCCTGGGCAACATCCTTGCAGACGGCCAATTCTCTCACACCAAAAGTGACTTGCAGTTTCTCAAGTCGCTCCTGACATGGGGGAAAAAAATCTGGAATTGTGCTCAATGTGAAATCATTTAGCTGTCTGCTGAAAATGCAGAGACAGCACTCAGTTGACAGAGAAAATAGACTAAGCATTTATGTTCAGTTAGAGTTTATCCTGATAGGAAGTAACAGTGAATCACAGTCCAACATATAGGTAATGGATTGTCTGTGCCTCTTATATAAGCAGGATACATTTGCAAATGTTCCCCTGACTGATAACATCCAGCCACTTCCAACAATAACATGATACTAATAAACAGGTTTCAAATGACAAATGGCTTTTGCTAAAGAAAAAATGCCAAATTGCAGGCAGCAGATGGTCTTTTCCTGCTTTTCCCTCACCTCTCGCAATTCCAACCTCTGAGCCACAGCTTCCAAGCATTCTTGACCAGTGCTCTCCACTGAGAACGTACACTCAATCACGTTGTTGTCCAATAAGCGAATCCGCGTCATGAAACAGTTCTTGCTCCGGACATTGTAGCGCCTGGTCCTTCGCAATTTCAGCCCAAAAGGCATGACTGCTGGAAGAAAATCGTCCCTTTCCTTTTCACACTTGAGGTCTTCTTAGGGAGGGAGCTTGGAACGCTGCTCCTCTGGTGGCCACTCTTCTCCTCCTCCAAATTTGGGAAAGGTTGCCCATGCCAAATGCAGATCCCAAAAGCAATCCCTGAAAAACATCAATAAGAAATATGGTTCATTTCCATGCAGACATCAAGGACATTTTTTTCCTTCTCATAAGTATCACCCATTAGCTCCCAAAACTCAATTTAGACTAGTTTGCTGCATACATGCAATACTTGGCATCATTGCCGCATGAAGAAAGAGAAGGAAAAAAGAGAAAGTGGAGGAAGAGGAGAAGAACCACCCCCACCGATGTTTCTAATATTTAATAGCTTTTGTTACTTTTTTTTGAAGTCTATCCTTTTTTCTGCATTCTCTTACTTTGAGTCTTCTCAAGCCTACCCTTGGTTTAGACTACGTTCTACAAATCCAAGAAAAACTCATTTTTTTTCCTGTTTGAACTCACATTCCTTCCAGCCCACCAATTTATTTCTTAGGTTCTGCTAAGACAAAAGAGTACTGCTAAGACAAAAGGACAGGAAAAGAAATAAAATATTGTTACAAATATAGATACATTATAACATACTATCTAGGAGCCCCCAGTGGTGCAATGGGTTAAACTCTTGTGCCAGCAGGACTGCAGACTGAAAGGCCAGTGGTTCAAATCCAGGAACAGGGTGAGTTCCCATCTGTCAGCTCCATCTTCCCATGAGGGGACATGAGAGAAGCCTCCCACAGGATGGTAAAATATTTGAGTGTCCCCTGGGCAATATCCTTGCAGACAGCCAATTCTCTCACACCAGAAGTGACTTGCAGTTTCTCAAGTCACTCCTGACACGGAAAAAAACACCATGCTATCTGATCCTGCAAAGGCTTAATGAAAGGCCAGACTATTACATACAAAGAGGCCATGATTCTATGCAAATCCTCCTGAAAGCAAACCCCACTGAACACAGTGGACTTTACTTCTGAGTAAACATGTAGAGAATGGACACCACAAAATACAACATATTAAATATTTTTCAAATCAGAAAGATTGAAGTATCCTTCATTACTGACTAATTTTATGCCACCTGCTATAGCCCTTATTCTTATTCTTTTAAAGCCCCCAGGCAATATGGCAGCCTTATCTATTCTACAATATTCTCAGCTTAAACAGTAGGAAGAATGGAAGGAAACTAAATGAAGGTCACAGAGAGTAGGAGCTAAGTCTGAATGCTACTTTTGGAAACAGCTTTCTACTTATCTAATTTGATTGTTTCTTTAAAATACATTTCCTTTCGCTAGCGTAGCCACTCCCTTAAGTTTGATTCAATTCTGTAAATAGAATTAACATAAATAAATCCTATTTTTCTTTTGTGTATGTTAGGACTTAAAAGGGGGGGGGGAGTAAAACTCTAATCAACAAAATCAGTATACAAAAAAGAAAGGGAAAGTGAGCTATGGATAAAGAAAGCACTGAGCAAATTTGAATAAGATGCCAGCATTATTCCTATTTTTCACACTTATTTCTACAAGTTCTTGAAAATACTGAAGCAGGCTCCCTCTCCAAACACATAATTACTAAATTACATTTATTTCAGTAATAAATTCAGAAGCTTCTTTTCAAGACCATCATGAAATTTACTAATCTAGATTCTCAAAAGGGAATATACAGTACAGCCCCCATATCTTCAAGGAATGTATTTCTGGGATTTACCATGGAAATGCGAATTTGCAGATAACAGTGAACCCTATTGAAACAGACAACTTTCAGGGAGAGCATAACATAGAATCACAATGGAGAACCTAGAAAATTCCTAGAAAACATTTTATCTAGAATTTCTAGGTCCTCCAGTATGACTCTTCCTGTGGAGGACCTAGAAAATAAATGCCTAGAGCAGTGGTTCTCAACCTGTGGGTCCCCAGGTGTTTTGGCCTTCAACTTCCTGAAATCTTGACCAATTTACCAGCTGTTAGAATTTCTGGGAGTTGAAGGCCAAAACATCTGGGGACCCAGAAGTTGAGAACCACTGGCCTAAAGGGAACATTATATTTTTGGACATGGTTAATTGAAATCATGCATACTGGTCCCATGGATACAGGGACTGTACTGTAGTTCAGAACTTCTAATGCAAAGTAAATATTATTCAAATAAATGTTTCTTTTTTAAAGGACACTTCTTTATTTTGCTAGCTTTGCCCACATGTTTCATGCATCTGTTCACAAGGAAGACATGAGGTACAGTATTACTAAAAATAGAGTAAGAAAAAATTCTTGTGAAACAAGCTGCATTTGTAAAGTATAGAATGTAGCACTGATTTGGGGGCAAATACCAGTATTATTCTATACATAAACACTCAGAATAAGTTCAATTAAAAGGTGCAGGCATAGGATCGACAGGCACACACACACAAGTGGGAAACTTTCAATGGAGAAAAGAATGGGAGCACTAGTTTTCAAACTCACCAGGGGTTATAGTGTTGCTGCCACAGCTATGGTTCTCACCAGTGAAATATTATGGCCAATATGGTATGTGTCTCTGATATAAAACAGTGCCATAGTTCAAGTGAACACATGTCCCGGAATCAAATGTTGTACTATGATCTGTATGTCTGTAATTCCTTTTCCTTACATAAGATCACTCTGAACTACTCCTAATACTGTACTCAGCCTCTTCTATGGCTAGCCTAAAAGCCGAGTCCTATTTTTACTACACTAGCAGTGAGATTTATTTATTTACTTGCCACACTTGTATGTACCCCACCCTTCTCACCGCGAAGGGGATTCATATTGGCCTTCCAATGGCAACAATTCATGTCACACAGAATCATAGAATTGGAAGAGACCTTGTGGGCCATCCAATCCAATCCCTGCCAAGAAGCAGGAAAATCACATTCAAAGCACCCCAACAGATGGCCATCCTGCCTCTGTTTAAAAGCCTCCAAAGAAGGAGCCTCCACCACACATGCATTAATATCCAAAACAGCAAACAGTTTCAGATAGCAGAAGGCACAGACAAATAACCTTAGCACATCGCAGCATCTTCCATGTTATTAAAGTGACAGCTTCCAAATCCCAGCAAATTCTCAGCAGTCAGCATTCACTGCAGTCACATCATTGGACTGAGGCTGTCTAACAGAGACACTACAGTATAAGGTGATCTTTGCAAACCAAATGATGATCCCATGACCTTTTCATATGGCATAATTACAGCACTTTAATGACTTTGATCCCATTTTATAGAATTCTAGGATCTGTAGTTTATGAAGGAGCTTTCAGACTTCTCAGCGAAAAGCTCTAGTAACTCATCAAATTAAAAGGCCCACATTTCCATGGAATGAAGCCAAGGCAGATTACATGGAAACCTAGAGTATACGTTCTGTAATGTGAAAGAGCTGCTGAAGAAACAGGGTTAGAAATAGTGCTACCACACTTTCACTGTCACTATGCCCTCCATAAATATGAATATTACATCTGAGCAGAAATTCAACATGTTTTGGCTCTACTATAAGAAACTTCTGTGGAAAAACACTGTTCAAATAGCATGACCAGCCCTTTATGGTAAGCTCTTGGTATCCCATTGGGATTTGATTCCAGAACTAACCTGCCTTGAGCCATGAGGAGAGGTAAGAAATAAAATTATTATTATTATTACCCATGGATACAAAAATCCATGGATGTTTGATTCCCATTGTGTACAGTGGCATAGTAAAATAGTATCACATATACTACATGACAAAACAATGTTTGCTTTCTGAATATTTTCAGGCTGTGGATCACTGGATTCATGCATATACAATCCATGGAGACTGAATGGTGGCAGCTATTTATCATTTCTTCCACTTTATTGAGCAACATATGTAAGGAAGTCTGGGTTGCCTAGGCAAATGGGCATCTCCCCACTCTTCTGTTATGTGAACAAGTGGGAAAGATTAAATGGCAGTGATAATCGTAGCAATGAACAACTTTGGTAAAAGACACTGTACATGATATAGGGAAATCAGGGAGAAATTCACACTCCAGAAACATGCACCCAGGTTTTCTACCAGATTCTAAATTCTCTATAAGTTCTAACACTAAGTTGAAACATGGTACTGGCAGCTCCTGGGAATCCTCAAATTGGACAACATAGTAAAGCCTTCCTATTTATTTTGAGACCTGTGATAGTAGAAATGGCTTATAAATTTCAAATGAAGCTGCATTCCTGAGCAGGAAATGTGCACCCAGGTAGAAGACACAAGGCCACGAACACTTAGCACTATGCCAAATCTTCCTTTGTACACCACCTTTCCTCTTACTGTTTTTGACCCTAGCAGAGAATATGCGAAGAGGACTTCAAAGCTGAAAATGACTTTTCCAAATTCTTATTTTAGAGGGTTTCTATAACTTGTCCTTTAACCACAAAGTCTCATGGCACGGCTTACAAATTGTACATTTGACAGTTCTCTCCCATTAGGAGTACAGGCAGTCTCCAAGTTATAAATAAAATAGGTTTTGTAGGTTTGTTCTTAAGTTGAATTTGTTTTGTAAGTCAGAACTCTTGCATTTTTAAAGTGTAACTCCAGCCATATATATAGCATAGACACAAGCATAGGAAAGGATCAACACTCATGTGGTGTTTGTTTTGCTGCCTGTGCCCCTATTCTGAAGATTTCACCTCTCTTTCTGTGCCTTGGATATTGAAAAATTTGGCTCATTGTGGAAACAAGGATTGGTAATAAAGCTTTAACTGAGACAACTTTTCCCATAATAACTGTTTCAGGAGTGAGTTTCCCTTCCTAGGGGTAGATTTCTCACACTTCCTGTAGTATCACATCAATTCTTAACTATGGGTCATTTGTAAATAGGATGTTTGTAACTTGGGGATTGCCTGTAGGCATTAGGACTGAAAATGTGCAAATAACCATTTTTGATTTGAACTGTCTAACTTTTTATCATTCATATCTACATATCAAACAGAAAAATAGCCAAAACCATCATGATAGCAAGACATTCCTTTTATGTCACCAAATCCAGGTAATTTAGCGCATCATGATGTGTGACAAAGGCAGCAAAGTTAATTTCATCTATCACATTAATATATTTTCACCCACATTTTTGGAACTCATTTTTACCTACAGTCTT